CGGCTCTCAGCACCACCAAGACAGGACAGTCATTGCTCTATGAAACTGACCTAAACTACGACGCAAGAACCTCAAATACACAGAAACCTAGAGTCCGTACTTAGAAAGTCTTAAGTTTATTTTAACTTGTTTGCTTTCTTTCAACTTGAAATTTCTCTTAGAATTGTGTTTGACTTATCAGTACCACCTCCAAATTTGATTAGATTTGATCTAAAATGACTACTTTTTAAGTAGTATCAGTGTTCTGGAAAGCATCTTAGCTTTCAGTAATTGACTACGAAATAGTATTCCTTTCAAAATGGAGAAATGGAAACACCGAGATACTCTGAATAGGCTCTGCGCCAAGGCTGAACAGAATGGATAATTACCTTCTGAGTCTCTATGACCTAACTCTCAAGATCAGTGTGAAAACTAGCCAAGAACACTAATTCACCCATCTAAAAGGTACTAGGTGATCACTTCACTTAAATTCTCTCAAGAATGAAGACTAATTTATTCTAAAAAGTCAGCTGGGGTTATTAAGAATAACACAGCAATGATCTACAAAAAATTTGATTAATTTCAGAAAAAAAAATCATTCAGAAGTAGTTTTTAATCCCTGCCTATTGGAAACAAATAAACTAACAGTACACGATCTCAACAGCTTTCAGACAACCTTTGCCTCTCTTTCTGGGCTGTTCAGTTTTTCTTGCAATTTCTTCATTACAAAAGAGAAAGGGACCCACCCCACAGTTGTTCATGTTATTCACACATACCCTACTTCTTTGTTGTTTTGAGACAGGGTCTTCCTGTAGCCCCAGCTGGCCTAGAACTTTCTGTGTAGAACAGGATGGCCTGGATGGCAAAAAGTCTGCCTGGGATTAAAGGTGTGTGTCACCATGCCCAGTCACACTCAAAACTTCTAATGCTGCATTTTTAAACTTGGAAATATCTCATCCTTGTTTAAATTTCAATATAACCAAGGAGACGCAGAATGCAGTGATAGAAGGGGGAACAGTACAGTAGGAAGGGGTAGACTGGAGTGAGGAATGGGAGGGCAGGGCAGAGGAGGGAGCATGGACAGGGATAAGTAACACTAAAGGTCTAAGAAAAGTTATACGGAGCTAGAGAGATGGCTCAGCAGTTAAGGGTACTGGTTGCTCTTGCAGAGGACCTGGGTTCAGTTCCTAGCACCCAAAAGTTGGCCAAAATCCATCCGTAACTTCAGTTCCACGGGATCCGACGCCCTCTTCTGACCTCCATGGGCACTGCATGACATGGGTACACCTACCTACATGCAAGCAATACACTCATACACATAAAATAAAAATAAATAGGGGCTGGAGAGATGGCTCAGAGGTTAAGAGCACTGGCTGCTCTTGCAAAGGACCCAGGTTCAATTTCTGGCACCCACATGGCAACTAACAACTGTTCATAACTCCACTTCCAAGGGATCAAATGCCCTCTTTGACCTTGGCAGGCACTGCACAACACAGATGCACTGACCTATATCCAAACAATACACTCAGACACATAAAATAAAAATAATAAATATTTTTTAAAACCAATGGAAAATATTTTTTAATATTTTATTTATTTTTATGTGTATGTGCGTGTTGCCTGCATGTAGGTTAAGTGCCCCTGAGTCATTCAATGCCCACAGAGGAGAGAAGAGGCTGTCGGATCCCCTGGAACTGGAGTTACAGACGGTTGTTAGCTGCCATGTGGGTGCTGAGATTCGAACCCCGGTCTTCTGCAAGAACAGCCAGTGTTCTTAAACCGCTGAGTCATCTCTCCAGCCCTTAGAAAATATTTTTTAAAATAATAATAAATAAAATTTAAAAAAAAGAAAAAGTCATATGGAAACCTACCACTATAGAGGCTTTTTAAAGTAGATACATACACATTATGAAAAGAGTTACCTTATGACAGGGGCACATTGACCCTACTAGACACCATACACTATCAAAGTAAAAGCCCAATGCTAGGAATGGACTCTCTCTCTTGAAGCTGTTGCCCAGGGGCCCCATAGACCCTCCAACAATGCTAACCATTGCCCCTGCTCTTGGTTATCCACCAGAACTTCACAGTAAGACCCTACTGCTGAAGATACATTTATGAACTGTAGAACAAACAGGGAGAAATCAAGCTGGTATTGACTTCAAAGCCTCATCTCTACTCAGTAAGCTAATTTTCATAGTGCTGAGAAGATGCTATGCATGCTGCCTGAAGAGAAAATTAATCAACAAACCCAGCTGTGAATCCTGTGAGCTCCAACACCTGGCCTGGGAAGATCTGCCCACTGGTGCAATAGCAGCATGAATATTATGGGAGTGACCAACCACTTTGTAATTGGATTTAAAGTCCGCTTCATAAGATGGAGCCCATACCTGACATTGATCTGAGGCCCAGGAACCTGATGGGCCACAGGCCACAGGGGAGAACCCAGTGCTATTATTCTGCTAAGTATATGGTATTGCACTGACTCCTAATGACTTATTGTTATACCCATAGATTAATGCATATCTCAACTCTCACCAGAGGAGCTTCCTATGCAGCAGATGGTGATTAACCCACAACTGGCCAATGTGCAGAGAACTAGTGCTCATCCCTCAATGGGGATCTACACCAAACTCTGTCTCCAAGGCTCAGGGATCATCGCAGAAGAGGGGCAGAAATATTATAAGAGCCAGAGGTGGTGGACGACCACAAGGAAACAGTTTTCCAGACAGCTGGGCAGGTGCTCATATGAACTCACAGTAATGCTGACAGCATACACCAGTACCACGTATCCTCAAATCAGACAAAATCCAAGCATAGATGTGGGGAAATGGTTAAGAAACCCCAACCCTCCCTGAGGCACTATTGTCGACTGACAGCTGCTAGGAAGGGGAGAGTCAGTCTTGTTTAAGGTGAGACTCTTGGTAGGTTGACCTGGCTCCAGGGGAGGAACCCACACAGAAGGGCATTTGGGGATACAAATTTGACTCTATAGGCCTTTATATATAAGAGTACATAAAATTGGGCAGAGGGTATTAAGGGGGTTGTAGATGGTGGGGGGGTCTAAATATAATTAAAATATATTGTTTAAAATTTAAAAAGATTCAACAAAATGAATGAATAAAGTAAATGAATGGAAAGCCTGAACTAAAACCAGCCTTTCTTTCTCTGTCTCTAATGATATCTTGCTGGCCAACAACAATGCTGGAGTCGGGCTGTGGCTCACAGAGTCTCTTCCCTTGTGTACAGCTAAGTGTTTAGTGCCTTAAGTAAAATATACAACACAGAAAATACAGTCAAAATAATCACCAACATTTATACTCTTGCCTTACACAAAAACTTCCTAATTTGGCAATGTTAAGTCTACACTAGAATCAGCTGCAATTGTAGTTACCCCCCATACATTAAAGCCCAAAACTGTAACATTTAAGTTGCAAAACTTAAATTTCAAATTCTTCCAAATATGTACTTAAAGAATGCCAATGGAATAATAGGAAATGTCTATGAAAACATGCTATTTGTTAGTAATGGGCATGAAATTTGAGTGGGTTTTCTCTTGTCTTGAGCCTTTATAGCAACTGTGATTTTTCTTAGGGACACTTCTTTACATCTGCAAGTTTGTTGCTATGTTTTGAGGTATGACAAGGAGAATAAAACTAAGTAGGCAGATCTACTCGTGCCACGCTCTCATGTAAACACCTTTATGCATTTACAGGAAACTCCCTAAAAAATCTACATAAAAGTATCTTAAGAAGGGGCTGGAGAGATAGCTCAGTGGTTAAGAACACTGGTTGTTCTTGCAGAAGACCTGGGTTCGAATCCCAGCACCCACATGGCAGCTAACAACTGTCCGTAACTCCAGTCCCAGGGGATCCGACAGCCTCTTCTGACCTCTGCGGGCATTGCACGATATGGGTGCACTTACTTACTGCATGCAGGCAATACACGCATACACATAAAAGAAAATAAATAAAATTTTTTTAAAAAGTACCTTAAGAAGCCAGGAGTGGTGGCACATGCCTTTAATACTGGCACACGCCTTTAATACTTCCACTTGGGAGGCAGATGTAGGCAGATCTCTGAGTTTCGGGCCAGCCTGGTCTACATAGCAAGTTCCAGGCCAGCTGGGGTTACAGGGAAGCCCTGTCTAAAAAAAAAAAAAAACACAAAAAAATCTTAAGAAGCCAGCACATAATAAATTTTGAGAGACTGGGGTTCAATTCCCAGTACCCACAAGATGGCTAACAACCACCTGTAACTCCAGTTCCAGGGGATCCAAGACCCTCTTCTGGTCTCCGCAGGCACTTAATGGCATGGGTGCACTTACATGCATGCAGGCAATATATTCATACATATAAAACAAAAATAATAAAATATCAAAAAAGAAGCTAGTACAAAATATTCACTTTATTAAACGCTGTTATTTATTGCAATGGACATCAGCATAGTAAGATTAAAATTTTAAATATAAGGGCTGGAGAGATGGTTTAGCAGTTTATAGAGCATGTACAGACTCATAACCACCTGTCACTCAGCTCCAGGGGATCTAATACCACTTGTCTCCACAAGCACCTATATTCATGTGCGGAAACACACACATACATACATACAGATAATTAAGATTTTTTCTAAAAATTTAATTGCAACATCTAAATTATCAAGTTAAACACTCAGAAAATATGACAATAATTTTGCAAAATCCCATTTCTATTAATATATATCTATTTAGCTCATGTGAATATTCATTTATTCTTGACATTGTATCAATTTAACCCGAGTGTAAGGCAACTTAATAATCACAGTGCTGTGGACCATCATTTTTAGAAACCTGTATCTCTCAGTGAAAAGAGTTACTTGAAATGATATTTTCTTATTAAGAAATTCAACGTAAGAATGGTTTTTACTCCCTATAAACATGAACCATGCCAACATTTCTGTCTGGTTGAAAGCTAAAAGTTAAAACACTCATGCTGTCTTGAAATACGTTGGCTAGACACTGAATTCTAATGTAGAATTCCTACCTGTAATGAACATGCGTGACTGTTGGTTTCCTGTATCCAAGGATCCAGGTTTGAATATCTATTGGTTCGGCTTTGGGATAAGCTATGGTTGTATCTATTATCCACTGGAGGCCTTTTGATTTGCATTCTGTGGATAAAGAAAAAACATGACATGAGTTGGAAGATTTTATTTATCTATAATAACAATACAGATTACTTGAACAGTGTGAAGCTTACTTCATGTGTCTTTTACTTTAAGAAAACAGGATTAACTTTATTGCTACTGTTCTACAGTGCACTTAGGATAGAATTAAGGCCCTTTTATTATAAAATGGATAAACTTCAAACAAAAAACACTGTTATTTACTACACATGGCCCATTCGAGTCTTCAGTATAATTACACACTAGCAAAGTCTTACTACATATTATCACTCCTATGAAAAGGTCAGAAGGTAAAGTATACTATCATAAAAATGAAAAACAGACTCAAAACCAAACCAAACGTCACTAAATATAATACAAAAGCCAAGATCTATAATATTAATACTAAGGGATATTAAATATGGAAACACAGCAATAAAATTAAGCATTTTTAGACACACATTATTGCTAGTTACCATTCTCTTTTTGTAAATTTTTTATTGAACTTTTGTATCTTAATCATCTTTATACCCCTACCCCATTGGTACCTCCCATAGCCCGCCCCCACTGGAATTTATGTATCTGTCATTTGTGTTAAGGCCTATCAAGTCAAGTTAGTGTCCCCGGATGTCCCTCAGTGCAAGTTCATCCATTGAGGTCCAGTCAGTCTATCTAGAGTCCCTCCCTTTAAGATCAGCTCTTCCTCACCCAGCAGTAATCAATTGCCAGTATTTCTTCAGCTAAGATTGGGATCTGCTGTCCATTTCTTCAGTTCTGTGCTGGGGCTGTGTCTGCCTGAGTTTGCATAAGTCTTGTGCATGCTGACACCATTGCTATAGGTTCTTATGAGCAGGGTCCCAGGAGCCTGCAGGACTCTACTTCCATGGTCATGCACCTCCTCCCTGGCTCTTACAATCTTTCCACCCCCTTGGTCCCAGTGCCCTGGATGGGTGGAATTTAATACAGGAGTCCTGTCCAAGGACCTACACTCTACAGACTCTTATTCTCTATGCTTTGGCCATTTTTTTTTTTTTTTTTTTTTTTGTCTTTTTAGACAGGGTCTCCCTGCAGCCCCAGCTGGCCTCGAACTCAGAGATCCACCTGCCTCTGCCTCCCGAGTGCTGGGACTAAAGGTGAGCACCACCATGCCCGGCATCGCTTTGGTCATTTGTGTCCTTTTGTGTTCATGGCCCTCTGTTGCATAAGGGAGATTTGGTTATTGTTCTTATTTGGGAAAAAAGTCCCCACATTTAGCAAGAGTTACAAAGATATAAAGCAATAAATCTTCCTGCCCTGCCCCTTCAGAAGGAATGATCAGTGACCACTATTCTGAGAGGGCATGGGGAAACTGTTCAGACTGGTCCTCTGTGCATTGTTTTTGTTCTAATCATGGAGAACAAGGCTGAGCAAGAATGGAGAGGGGATTCTTAGGGAACACTGAAGGTCAGACTTTAAAGTGCAATGGGCTATCTATGATGGAGTAACTAGAAAATCAAAACAAACAGAAGCAGGAACCAATAATATGTTACTTTTCCTTATCAGACATTAAAAACCAGCTTTAAATTCCTTAAAGAGATTTTAGAGGCTACTGGGAGACTCTGTCTCAAACAAACAACATACACACATACATACACATACACACATAACCCCTTTCTGAAGGAGGGAATTTGTAAAAGAAAAAAAATTTATTTTTCTTTGAGTGTGGTGACACATGCCTGTAATTCTAGCACTGAGATAGGAGGATCACTAGGACAGCTGGTTCAAGGCCAGCTGAGTTACATAATGGGACTCTGAAAAAAAACATCAAAAGTGAAAAAGCAAAAGTTCATTTCAGACAACACTGTGCTAAGGAACAGAGTTTATGTAAACATAGTAACAAGCTACCAGTGACCTAGACACTAAAATGGCTAGTGTAACTTACTGCTCCGAAATACACTTAAAAAGAGGAACTAAGAGACGGAAAGGTTAAGACAGATGTGGCAAAGCCAACATGGCAAAGCTCAGAGCAGCTGGTCAGCTCATGGACAGCTACTAACAAATTATTTGAAGTTTATGCTTAAAAATTTTCATTATACAGGCTGGAGAGATGGCTCAGCGGTTAAGAGCACTGACTGCTCTTGTAGAGGTCCCGGGTTTGATTCCCAGAACCCACATGGTGGCTACGAACCGTCCTTAGCTCCAGTTCCAGGGCAATCCGAAGTCCTCTTCTGACCTCTGCGGTATTGCATGACACGGGTGCACTCACATACATGCAGGCAATACGCTCATACACATAAAATAAAAATAATAAAATATTTTTAAAAAATTTTCATAATAAAAAGGGTAAAGTTCGGTTTAGTATGAGTCAAATCATACAGCTAACATACAAAAGATCTGAGTACTTTTTAAAGGGAATCAGGCAGAACTTAACTTTAATGTGTGCCCAGATAAAGTGCCAGTGAATACGAGTACTAAGAAAAGTGTAAAGTATCGAAACAGAAGAAAACGGTGAGCTACTTTTCAGATAGTCCGATGACTTAACATGTAAAGTGTTAACTAAGGATAAGTAGTAAACACTGAAAGGAAATTCTTTTTTACTTCTCGGCAATTGTTCTGCCAGCTGCCCTTCCAGTGAAATCTAGACCACCACTGGGCCTGCCTGGGTGAACTGGGCAAACAGCAGTCCTTAGTGGACTAATCCTGTTTGGAAGAACTCTGCCTACAGCTTTGGCTTGGCTGACATGCCACAGTGCCTCTCCAGCATTGAAGCTGTTCAGCTTTCCTTTCCTAGTAAAAGACTCTTTCAATGTGTCTCTTTAATAGATTATGAAAGATTAAGAAAGTTGACTGCTAGTAGCTGTTTGAAAAAAGCAGATGAAAGGAAAAACTCAGTGATTTCATGGGTGTTATTTATACATCTGCTCTGCACAGTCATTTGAAAACATTCCTGAGAGTTAATTATTTCAACTTGTACTTAAATATTACTAAAAGAACTACCAAAGAAGCAGGTCCAGTGGATTCTGTCAGCTGTTTATTGGAAAATTTTCATAGAAGTGACTTGAATGAACGCTGCTGGTAGTCATACCTTCCGTAAAGTTTCACGGTTCTCAGATCTACAATATCCTAGCCTGTTGCCAAGATAGGTGCATCTCTGAGTGCTGCTTATTATTATTACTATATTATTTTTTGATACAAAAATAATGCGTACGGCCAGGCATGGTGGCGCATGCCTTTAATCCCCGAATTTGGGAGGCAGAGGCAGTGGATCTCTGTGAGTTTGAGGTCAGCCTGGATTACATAGTGAGTTCCAGGCCAGCTGGGGCTACAGAAAGGCCTGTCTCAAAAAGACAAAAAAGAATAGTGTGTACTCATTATTTTTAAATGAAAAAAATTCAGTAAAGTATTTGAGAGAAACGAGGAAATTATCCATAATGTTACAACTCAGGGAGTCTTTGCTGACATTCTGGTGTCTTTCACTCACTTCCTAGCACCTTAGTGTTTAGTCTTATTTTCACAGGACTTGCATGCCCCACTCAACATAGCACTAGCACTTTGCCAAGCCAACAAAAACTCTCTACACATATCATTTGCAATGGCTAAGTTACATAGATATGTGAGCATTACTGACAAGCAATTCTCCCTCTGGCTATTTCCAATGTTTGGTCTATTATAAATGATTCTGTAACAAATTCATTGCCTATAGTCAGATTATTATTATTTATTTTAAGACAAGGCCTCATTCTGCAATTCAGGCTGACCTAGATCTTACTATACAGCCCAGGTTGCCCTTGAACTCAAGGTGATCCTCCTACCTCAGCCTCCCCAGTGCTGGAATTACAGGCATGAGCTACCATGCCTGGTCAGACTACCTTCTACTGGTAAGTATTACTTGAAGGAGAATAACTGAGTCATTTACTAATACTACAAATATCTTAATAAATACTGCTAAATTACATTAAATTTATTTTCTATTAAAAGTAAACAAAAAGCCAGGTATGGTGGTGCATGTTTTTAACCCCAGCGCGCAGGAAGCAGAGGCAGGAAGATCTCTGAATTCCAGGCCAGCCTGGTCTACATAGCAAGTTCTATGCCAGGAAGGGTTACACAGTGAGATCCTGTCTCCAAAAAAACAACAACAAAAACCTAAATCTAATAAATGAAAATAACATACATCATTATCAGCAGGAATCATCCTGAGGAGAGGCAGGTAGGGAAGATAGCTTTGACTACACACTTCTACATAATTTTAGTACATTATTGTAAGCATGGACTACTTTTTTAAGGAGAAAAACGAAGAAATTATAACTGCATCTTTTCCCTGATTATTAGTTCTAGTTGAAAAAAGGTATAAAAAAGAAATACAACTTCAGTTCAAATAAGGTAAGAAATGCTGAAACCTCCTACCTGGTTCTTTAGTGTCTCCTCCTGCTGGGCTTCCATTTTCCTGTCGTGCTACAAGTGCATTCAAAATAATTTTTGTTGCCCCAAACCTTGGCAAAGTGACATGTGTAAGAAATGGCAAGCTATTCTTCTTAGCAAATGCCTGGCTTGTTTCTCTCCTCTTCCTGAGGAAGCCCCCTTCAGGAAACAAAACAATCCACTTTCGATCTCTGCTCCTGTAATTGTGCTCTAGGTGCTTCTTGAGAACGAGCAGCTGTTGGTCACGATAAGATCTTCCCTAGAAGGCACACATATAGGGTAAGGACAGGTACATCTGAAATTCAAGTGCCCTAAGATTAAACAGAAACAACCACTTCATAGTTAAAATCCAGTCATGGGACAGAGCAGTGATTCTCCTCACTGATTTCTCTTTTTAACCAGAATGGCAAAGAGAGAAGCTATTAGTACTTAGATAAACTTTTGATCTTAAACTAAAGGAAAAGCAACTCACCAATTTGGTGGCTACATAACTGTCTACTATTTACCAAACACAGTCCAAAACTCTAGAAACAGAAGAGTAAACAGATCCTTCAGCAGTTGATACCCTAGTCTAGGAAAGTAGCGAGTGTAGAGTGTAAACTCCATTGGTGACTCATTTTAGTAAGAAAAGAACAAGGGGATAGAAAGGTTGGCAGGATCAAGGCAAGCTGCTGCACAGAGGAGACACAGGAACAAAGAGCTGATAATTACCATGAGGGAATAAGTCACAAAAGATGACAGGTAGAACATTCCAGTGACAAGAACAAAAAAAGACATAGATCTAAAGTAGGAACATGTTTGTATGTTCAAAGAACAGTACCCTTGACAGTGTGGCTGAAATGACAGAGGAGATCAGTGGTAGGAGCTGGAATTTCAGGAGACTAAAGAGAAAAGGACTTGTGCATGGTGGTAAGTTTTAAATGAAGAATCACCAGGTAATTTCGAAAAAGAAATGCCATAATCTTATTTATATTACAAGTTAACCCAACTCTTATTTATACATCAACCAAACTCTGATTTGGTTGACAAAAAGCCCACTGGAGGTAAGTTAGGGAGCTTCTGCAATAGCTACTGAGGGAGCTTGACCATATTCAGCTACAATATATTCATGAGGAGCAGGTACAGGTACCAGAAGCCCCGAAAGTGGTCAGGAGGACACTTTGATGGGCTGGATCTTATTTGTAAAAGATAAGAGACAAACTTGAAGACTGAAAACAGAGAGGCAAATTCATAGGAAGGCCCTAAACCTACCACTAAGTATCATTAGGGTTCTTTTCAATTTGATAATTTCCAGTCAACAGTTATAAAAGCTCCTTGAAATAATGAGTGTGCTAGCCAGGTGTGGTGATGCTCGCCTTTAATCCCAGCACTCGGGAGGCAGAGGCAGGCGGAGCTCTGTGAGTTCAAGGCCAACCTGGTCTACATAGTGAGTTCCAGGCCAGTTGGTGTTACAGGGAGACCCTGTCTCAAGAGTGTGCTTTTAGTCTTCAGATTAAATTCCCAAATTCAACGCAAACTTTCTTAGCTAACTTAATGAATAGAACTAATTATGATTAAGATAGCTTTTACATTACCATGGTTATATATAAAATACTTTTACTATTGTTAGAAGATTTTGTCAAAAATGGCCTAGTAGTAAAGTCCTAAGGAAAAAAAAATTAAAACTTTCCTTCCTTCTTTCCTTTCCTCCTCCCTCCCTCCCTTCCTTTTTTAGGAAGGGTCTCACATATCTCAGGCTTGTTTTGAACTTGCTAGGTAGAATGGCCTTGAATCCCTGACCCTCCTACCTCCTATGTCTTGGTGCTTGAATTAGATGTACAACACCATATTCGGCTAAGTTAACACCTTTTCTAGTCCATCTAACCTTATGTTATAGATTTTTTTTTTACTACTATTAAGGAAAATGTTCTTCAGAAATTAATTTTCAGATGTTTTGAAATAAGGGCTTTATTTACTTGAAACTTTCACTGTAATTAAATGGAAAAGATTTGGAGTACATCATTTTTAATTTTTATCCTCTCAGAGTATACTGGTAATTTAGCCTCTTCTTGATGCTTGACTGTTATCATTAGCAACTGTTTAGTACCATCTTATAAATCAGTAAGTTCTTCAGATATCACAATGCACGGGCTTGCTTCTCCACTGAACTTCCATCTGCTGTCATCGCCAAGATACTAGGCGGGATAGATTCCCTAAGTGTTCTGGTCACTGCTCATTCATCTTGACCTAGTGGCGAACCCTCATTGCTGCTGCTTCTTTCAGTACGTGTTGCTATTGCCTCTGGTCAGAAGAACCAAGACTATTCCCAGAAGAAACTAGATCACTGCCCAGCATGTGATAACAAAATCATGTTCTAACCCTAAGCCTGTGGAGCAGCTTGGACGTGTTTGTGACACCTATTTCCATAGGCTCCATTTGCTCCAGCAGGTACTCACTAAGGGTTTACATGCAGAGGACTTCACAATCCAGGTTAAAGTTAAGTACAAAACACCAAATAACCATGGCATTCCATCCGTAGACACTCTTACATATTATATTTTCCTGCTTCGGAGAAAATAAGTGCAGGACACTAGTGTGTGCAAGGGAAATGTAATGCAATGCTGTTATTCTTTTTTTTGCGGGGGGGGGTCTTTTGAGACAGGGTCTTCCTGTAGTCCCAGCTGTCCTGGAACTCGCTATGTAGACCAGGCTGGGCTTGAACTCACAGAGATCTGCCTGCCTCTGCCTTTGCCTCCCAAGTGCTGGGATTAAAGGCATGTGCCACCACGCATGGCTAGAAGTTATCATTCTTTTACCTTCATTCAACTATTTCTCCAGCTTGGAGGAACCACTTTCATCCATTCAACCCATATGCCAAATGTCATCTTCTTTAAACTTTTTCTGGTCTTAAGAAATCTGATATACTTACTTTTCCTGCTGAATTCTCCTAAAACTTCCCATTATTTATTATTACCTATTTACTTACTTAATAATCTCCCTGCTGGTAATTGAGATATCTTCTGATCATATAACAAGGCATTGCAAATAAAAATAATAGTGGAAACTGAGGTAATGATAGCAGCGTTCATGATAAAAACGCTGATGAAGGATGTAGGCACTGTTCTGAGTGCCTTACGTGTTTAACTTCATTTAATTCCCACAACTGTCTGAGGGAGATTATTATCAATTGTTTTCACATTAAAAGTGAGGAAACTGAGCATTTAAGTAACTTGCCCAAATCTGAAGAACAAGGAATGAGGCTGGTGCTTGATAAATGCATTAGCAGCATCTGATCACCCATGCCTATTCAAAGTCAGATTTAAATAAATATTTAAAGAACAAAAATGCAAAAGAGTCCCCAAGACACAAGAACATGCTCGGCTTAGCACAACCGGTCTGTCTGCTGTAGCGCCCCTTTTTGAGATTAAGAATCGTTTCAACAAGTCTGATCACTCAAAAACTAACACTTGTCACTTACCTGTCTTATAAAGAAGTCACCATGTATCAGAGAAACAATTCCAAAGTTTGTGTATTTGAAAATATGATCCATCAGCCACATCATCTGAGCAACAACCTAAAATATTTAAATGCAAAACATATTAAATATTATCAAAGATATTTTTATCTTCAGTGCTGGGACTAAAGGTGTACGTCACCACGCCCAGCAGTTGAATTAACTTCTTAAATTTGGACTTAATGATTTCTTAATTTTTGGAAATTGTATTTCTTATTATTGTGGGGGGGTTGTGTGCGTGTGTGTGTGTAGGCACATGAGGTCAGAGGACAACCTTTGAGAGTAGGTTCTCTCCTTCCACTCTGAGTTCCAGGGACCTAACCCAGGTTTGTCATACCTGCATGGAAAGTGTTTTTACCCATTGAGCCATTTTGCTGGTTTGAGGGATTCAGTGATTTAAAAGGTGCTCTATCTAAAGAAGGTCTCTGGCAATTCTTATAATGTGTACAATTACTTGGGATTAATACACTAAAACAATGAAATGACCAAATGAAGTCATACATTTAATAAGCACTTAAGTTTTGGGCTGGAGAGATGGCTCAGCGGTTAAGAACACTGAATGTTCTTGCAGAAGACCCGAGTTCGAATCCCAGCACCCACATGGCAGCTAACAACTGTCTGTAACTCCAGTTCCAGAGGATCTGACAGCCTCTTCTGTCCTCCGCAGGCATTGTACGACATGGGTGTACTTACCTACATGCAGGCAATACATGCATACGCATTAAAAAAATAATAATAAGCACTTAAGTTTTATAAAATATGAGTGGACCTTACTGGCTACAATACAAAGCTACTACCCAATACAATGACGTACACATTTTAAAAAAATATTTTATTTTTTATTTAATTAATTAATTTATTTTGGGTCTTTTTGAGACAGGGTCTCCCTGTAGCCCCTGCTGTCCTGAACTCACTATGTAGACCAGGCTGGACTTGAACTCACAGAGATCCACCTGCCTCTGCCTCACAAGTGCTGGGATTAAAGGCTTGCACCACCACGCCCAGCTTATTATTTTTATTTTATGTGTATGCGTGTATTGCCTGCATGTATGTAAATGCACCCATGTCATGTAATGCCTGGAATTGAAGACAGTTGTTAGTTGCTGTGTGGGTGCTGGGATTCAAAACTGGGGCTTCTGCAAGAACAGTTCTTAACCACAGAGCCACCTCTCCAGCCCTGATGTACACATTTTATTATGCTATGAAGGCTATTTGTTTGTGCAAGTACATGTTCTTTGCTAACATAAAAATATTTATGATGCCTCAGTCCTTAATCACAAAAATATTATCCATTGCTCATGAGTTAATTCCCAGATTCAGGGTAGAAGACTTTGTTTCAAGCAATTTAAAAATTAAAAGTAAATAAAAACAGTATCTAATTAATTGTTTAATTTTTGTTTAATTCATTGCTTAACTGTTCTTTCCTGCTGAAGAAATAAGTGTCCTTTGTTATAAACCTTAAATACAGTGAAAGCTACTGCTTCCATTTAGCATGGAATGAGCTCTAGTTTGGCCTCTAAGGGAATAATAAGTGTAAACACCAACTCCAAGCACCAAATTACATTAAGGCACCTGTGTTAATTTTCAGCTATATACAGAAGTTTATATGGATAATTCTGTTCTAACTTACTTTAGAGGAAATGCTCTAAGTTAATAAATAGTAGTTAAATATTTCATAAAGGAGGTGCTGTAACCACTGAACCCAGTGAATCTGTGGTCACTTGAATCAACTCTGCAGATATCTGCTGAATCCATCACCAGAAATATGGCCCAGAACTATGTAACCAAAGTTGGCTTCGAATTCATGATCCTCTGTCTCTGCCTCCCAGGTGCTGGCCCAGAGCTCACCATAGAGACCAGGCTGACCTCAACTCACAGAGATCCACCTGCTTCTACCCACCAAATACTAGGACTAAAGGCACGTGTGCCACCATGTCTGGTGGACACTCAGGTTTTTCTGAACAAGCTCTTTCCATCCTTGAAGACCTCAGCCAAACTCCCTCTCACCAACCACAGATTCTGACTCTGCTGATTTGTGAAGTTCTACCACACTCTTTTCAATCCTTATTCTGGGGACCAAGCTCAGCTTTTACCAGTCATTTCTAATACATAAAATTGGTCCATATCAATTGTTCTTTATCTGGAAGCACAGATCTTTTATATTTTAAAACATCATTTAAAGAAAGTTAAAAAAATGACTCTATATCCTGAGTATAGAAGTTTCAATGGAAAGTTTTTTAAAATTTTATTTATTTTTATTATGTGTATAAGTTTTTGTTGTTGTTGTTGTTGTTGTTGTTTTTGGTCTTTTTGAGACAGGGTCTCCCTGTAGTCCCAGCTGTCCTGAAACTCACTATGGAGACCAGGCTGGCCTTGATTAAAGGTGTGTGCCACCACGCCCGGCTTATGTGTATAAGTGTATTGCCTGCATGTATGTGAATGCAACCGTGTCACGTAGTGACAGTCAGAAAAGGGGTCAGATCCCTGGAACTAGAATTATGAATGGTTGTTAGCGGCATGTGGGTGCTGGGATTCAAAGCTAAGTCTTCTGTAAGAACAGCCAGTGCTCTTAACCTCTGCTCTATCTCTCCAGCCCTCAATGGACAGTTTTGGTTATCACAATGACTAGAGAGCGTGACTACCAATGAGTGGGTGGCAGGAGGACACATAAGATGTTCAGCAATGGCCAGAACAATTCTGTTTTTCATTAGTTTTGTGTTTTGAGACAAGGTCTCACTATGTACCCTTGGCTGGCCTGGAACTCACTACATAGACCAGGCTGGCCTCCAACTCACAGAGATCTGCCTGCCTCTGACTTTCAAGTACTGGGATTAAAGGTGTGCACCACCATGCCTGGCAACCAGACAGTTCTGAGTTCTGCTGTCCTACCAAAATGCCAATAGTGTCCCCACTGAGAAACACTACGGGCACTCAAGGAATCTCCCAAACTCAAAAAGCTACACTACAACCACATCACCATTATAGTGGATTATTTATTTATATGCATATGTACCTGTGCGTTCACGTGTGTGCAGGTGCATTCAGAGGCCCGAGGACAACTCTGGGTGTCATCCTCAGGAACGCCATGTACCTCCTTTGAGACAGGCTCTCTCATTGGTCTGGTGCTCACTAAGCTAGACTGGCCAGCAAGCCTCAGGGGTCCTCCTGTCTCCTCTCCCCAGCTCTGGTATTACAAGCAGGCACCACACACCTGGCATTTTTATGTGGGCTCTGAGGATCAAACTTAGGCCCCCTCATACTTGTAAGGCAAGCACTTCTGACTGAATCATTTTCCTAGCTCCATAAAGCAGTATTTTTAAAAAAATATCACATTTATTTTGTCTGTCTGTCTGTCTGTATGTATGTACACTCATGCACATGTGCCACAAGTGTGCTCACAGGATAACTTTCAGAAGTCAATTCTTTCCTTCTACCACATGGGTTCTGGGGACCAACTCAGGTTGTCAGGCTAGGCAGCAAGCACTTTCACTCACGGAATCATCTCTCCAGTCCCAGAGTGGTATTTTTAAACAGGTATACAACTTAGCAATAGCCTCCTCCTTTGAATGAAGCCATGGAGCAGTCAAGTAAACAAGTAACATGAATCAAGTAAACATTCCTACATGTAAATATGAACTAACAATGATCCATGCTTATTAAGCAAGAGAGATTAGAATGTATCACCTTTATTATTTTTTATTTAATTTTTATTTTATGTGTATGAGTGCACTGCTGTTGTTCAAAGCCCTTGGAGGTCAGAAGGGGGTGTCGGATCCCCTGGAACTGGAGTTAAGGATGGTTGTTAGCTGTCATGTGGGTGATAGGAATCAAACTCTGGTCCCCTGTAAGAGCAGCCAGTGTTCTTAACTGTTGAGCCATCTCTCCAGCCCAATGCCCTTATATTTTTCAATTTCTTCCTTATGAAATAAGATTTTAAGTGTGCCAGGTATAGTGACACATGCCTCTAATCCCAGCACTCAGGAGGCAGGTGGATCTTAAATGTATCTAGATTTCAAATTATTTTCTAATATCAGAGTATTATAAAAATGTTCAGTATTAACTAATAGAAAATAAAAACAAAATTACTCAGGATAGGCAAATGAACCTAGACAAATTTAAATCTTTTTTTTTCTTTTTTTTCTTGTTTTTGGTCTTTTTGAGACACGATCTTCCTGTAGCCCCAGCTGGCCAAGAACTCACTATGTAGATCAGGCTGGCCTTGAACCGACAGAGATCTGCCTGCCTCTGCCTCCCAAGTGCTGGGTTTAAAGGAGTGCACCTCCACGCCTGGCAATTTACTCTTTTTTTGGGGGGGGGGTCTTTAAATTCAAATGTTAGTCCACGTAAGTGATAGATTTCAGACTAACATTATGGTTAATATTAGCTATCATCTTCACAGAGCTGGCATTGGCATGACCACTTAAAAGTACATTGTATGCCCTCAAAATAATTGCTATAAGTGTAATTACCATTGTCAGTGAGACTAAAAGTGCTAATTGTAAATTTGCCTTCATAGAAAGCTAAATAATTTTCACAAAATTTTAACATCACAAATTTAAGGGATAAGCAGTAAGTTTTACCCTAAAGGCAGATAGAAGCCAGGAGTAGTGGTACACACCTTAATCCTAGCACTCGGGAAGCAGAGGCAGGTGGATCTCTGTGAGTTCCAGGCTAGGCAGGGCTACATGGTAAGACCCTGTCTAACCCCCGCCCCCAAACCCAATGGATGGATGGATGGATGGATGGATAGACAGACAGACAGACAGACAGACAGACAGACAGAGATAATTATACAGTAGCATGTTTTCAATTTTAAATTCTGAATATAAGGACTGAATTTATTTAACATTCCAGGAAGATTATATGCCTACTTTTCAAGTAAGAAAAACAGATTGTGCAATAACTAAACATATTTTCCTATAATTCACCTTCCTTTCCAACCTTACCTGCTGAATCAAAATACAAACACCAATAATTTTAAATACCATTTATTTTGTTTTCTAGGAACATAACCTCTTTAACTTCTCAAGCAATAACTCTTTAAATGATGAAGGACAAACTTATACTTCAAATCTACCCACTTTACTGGTATATTTTAATTATCAATATAAGCAAAGCAAAATCAACAGTTCAAACACTGGCTGGGCAACACTAAATATTCACTATCCTAATTATCTTTTAAAGTCTTTAAATCCCCTTCCTGGGGTGACTTGGAATTATATATTTTTATCAGTATTTCCTAATGTCTCAGGAAAAGTAGACATATTAAATCTACATCTGCATTTCAAATCACAGTGAGATACTTGAAACACAGCCTCAAAGCCCACCCCGATGGCATTCAGGATACTCACCTGTCCCTTGTCCTGCAGGCACATCATCAACGTGCACACATCTCCAGTTGCCTGATGGTTCACCAACATCATCGCTTCGTCCTCAGAAATGGCTTTAATGTCTTCGCCCCACTCCATCACTGTAACAATAAAATGTTCCAAAGTGTCATTTAAAAGATATTCATATGACTAGAACCCTTCTATTTTAAAAAAATAGTAGATATTAATGTAAGATGTCTCTTAGCTAAAACTTTTGAAAGGCTGGAACTAGGTTTCCTATAAAAATCACAATGTTGACAATATTTTAGAGATTAAAATAGTCAACAAAATATAAAATGATCATGCCTTTGACACAGAAGATCTGTTCCCTAGAATTTACCCTGTATAATCTGAACAGACTTACCTAAATAGGCAAAAATGTAGGCATAAAGGATAGGTATATAATTTACATGCTTACCAATAGGGAAACATAAGAAAATTATGATGGAAAAGTATATGTTCATGTAAAGAATGAAGTATACCTTTACATACCAATCCCCCTAAGCTATATTACCAAATATATATACATACATACATACATACACACATACACACACACACACACACACACACACACACTTTTAGTTGTTGCTACTGTCTAAGGCTCCTTGCTCAGACCTGCATCCTCAGAGCAGGCCACAGAAACTAGAACTTCTCATTCTTGCAGCTGGTGAAGGAAATTTTAATCTTCCCCATCATTGCTTGCCTTCCTTGTCTGATACTTCAGAAGGTGTCTTGGTACAGACCTGCCCGTCTGGAGGAAGGAATACTATACAGACAAGCCTTGCTGGATTTCACCATCCATCTGTTAGCATCTGATATGCAACAGTTTCCTTTACAATCCATAAAAGGACTTGGTTCTGAGAGCTGGGCATGGGGGGCAGTTCGTAGGGCTCTATGCCCCTCCCCCAGACCTGCCCTATATGCTTCTTCATCTGTATCCTTTGTAATACCCTCTATAATAAACTGACAAATGTGTTCCCCTGAGTTCTGTGAGCCACCTGAGCAAATTAGCTGACCCTGAGTTGTGGGAACCCCTATTTAAAGCAGCTGGTCAGAAACACAAATGAAACAACCTAAATCAATAAAACAATCTAAAGTTGTAGAGCAGGCAGTCTTAGGGATTGACTCACGCTGTCTGAACTGATGCTATCTCCAAGTAAAGAGTGTTAGAACTTGGCTACTCAGCGGCCTCCACTGCAGAAGAGTTGCTTGTTTAGTGTATGAAAGAAAAAAATCCCACACATGTGATATTAGAGTTGATCAGTGTCATCAGAGTACAGTAGGAGGAACTGAGCTAGAGGTGTTCTGTTTTATGTGGTTCTGGTGATGGAGCCCAGGGCCTTCTGCATGTTAGGGAAGTGCTCTATCACTGAGCTATACCCCTAGCCCTTGAGCTTCAGTTCTGTGCTCTACTGTGTCTTTGAACCACCTAAAGAAGGAATAAAATTTATATGTTATTTAATGCATTAAAGAAAGTTTTGGGGGGCTGGAGAGATGGCTCAGCGGTCAAGAAAACTGGCTATTCTTGCAGAAGGCCCAGGTTCAAATCTCAGCACCCACATGTCAGCTAACAACTGTCCTAAACTCCAGTCCCAGGAGATCTGACAGCCTCTTCTGACTTCTGCGGCATGCCCGACATGGGTGCGCTTTACCTACAGGCAGGCAATACACGCATACACATAAAATAAAAATAATAAATGAAAAATTTTTTAAAAGTCTTTGGAAGTGAATTCCCAAGAGACTATTAATATTGATCATTAAAAGGTGACTAGTCCCCCCTTTTTTTTTTTTTTGGTCTTTTTGAGACAGGGTCTCCCTGTAGGCCCTGCTGTCCTGGAACTATGTAGACCAGGCTGGCCTTAAACCCACAGAGATCTGCCTGCCTCTGCCTCCCAAGTGCTGGGATTAAAGGCATGCACCACCACACCGGGCTAGGTTTTTGTTTTTGTGTATGCTTTTTGTTTGTTTTTGAGACAGGGCCCCAGCTGGCCTGGAACTCACTATGTAGACCAGGCTGGCTTTGAACTCACAGAGATCCGCCTGTCTCTGCCTCCCAAGTACTGGGATTAAAGGCGTGCGCCACCATGCCTGGTGACCCTTTAATTTTCACTGTACAAGAAAACATTTGAAGGCTGGGCCTGGGGGCACATGCCTTTAGTCATAGCGCAAGGGAGGCAGAGGCAGATGATCTCTAAGACTTTGGGGCCAGACTGGTCTACATAGTGAGTTCCAGGCCAGCTGGGGTTATAGCGAAACCCTGTCTCAAAAAGATGAATAATAATAGGCAATTTGGCACTGTGCAGCTCCAGTCTCCCTGCCAGCACCTCCCGCCCGATGGCCTCCCAGAACCACCCCCCAGCTGCTGCCAGAGCTGCTGTGCGCAAAGGAGCAAAGGAGCGGAGCCCAGCGGGGTCGCCAATCAGGGCCCTGTGGGCAGGAGGTTATAACAGAAGCTGACGACCCTCATGATGTCTGGTGACAAAGGAATTTCTGCTTTCCCTGAATCAGACAACCTTTTCAAATGGAAAGGGACCATCCATGGAGCAGCGGGCACAGTTGATGAGGATCTGAGGTATAAACTCTCCCTAGAGCTCCCCAGTGGTCACCCTACAACGCACCCACACTGAGATTCCTCACCTTGCTATCACCCCACAAGGACACACAGGGCAACATCTGCCTGGACATCTCAAGGATAAATGGTCCGCCCTGTATGACATCAGGACCATCTTTCTCTCTATCAGAGCCTGTAGGGAGAGCCCAGCATTGATAGCCCTTTGAACACACATGCGGCTGAGCTCTGGAAACCACCACAGATTTTAAGAAGCACCTTCCAGAACATACTCAAAGCAGGACCCTCCAGTCCAGAGTCCTGACCCAAGTGTGCAGCCTCTTCTGTGCTATCATTTTTTCCTTAGATGGTCTGTCCTTTCCTTGATCCATACTGTGAACTGTGGTGTTATTTTTGTTTTATTTCTATTTTTAAAATTAAGTCTACTTGAGCCCTTACAATGTATATTAAATAAATACATGTTGGTTATTTTTTAAAAAGATAAACAATAATAATGAAAATATCTGAATATTGCAAAACTACCAACTTTCACTTTAAAGTAAGAAAAAAAAGTTAAATTCATTAAAAATCTCCAGATGAAAAAAATCACTGCATTCAAATCTACTTGTATATTCTAAGGAAGAGTAGACATGCCTCATTTTATGGTAAAATAGGTTCACAGAAAAAAAATGAAATTGAGTATCAGCTTTCGAGCATCAATATTCTAAAAGAAGCAACTACATTCCTCAAACGCTGTAGTGAATCACCAGAGGCTGACTACTCACTCACACTATCGTCACCACATTCAGCTGCTGTAAGGAAAGATGCAGAGCCTGCTGTGGGCTTGCAGCCTCTACATGACACAGGGATAGGGAAGAGGAGGCCCTGCTTCATAAACCTGGCTTCCCTCTCCCACTCAGCCCTCACTGTAACCCAGTACACTTGAGCTCCTTATAGTCTGGTAGAGTTCTTCAGAAGGGTTCATTTGAGAAAAGGGTCCTGGTTTTCCTTCTACTGAAACCAGCTAGAAAGGCATCTCCCTTCATATTAAAGATCTTAAAATTCTGTGCTAAGGAAATTTTCAACAAGGTCAAATATACCAATTTGTGGTACCCTTTGAGGTAAGGCATTGCAATTATTCTATCAGATGTTATTACTTATATCTAAATACCTTATGGTGTCTATGATTGTTTTTATTTAACATTTTAAATAATGCACCATGGAAGCTCCATTAAGAGATAATACTATTTGCTCCTTAGGAGAGAGGCAGAACCCCAGGAGAACCCAGTCTCTTGTAAACTACAGCAGCACTGACCTAATTTCCCACTTAGGCTCAACTGACAAGCTCACTTAACAAAACCAACGGACATTGCTAGGGGAAGTAGACATGGGTACATTTTTTAATTTAAATGTGTGTATATGTATGTGGTGAGTGCACCATGCATGTGTGCCTGCATCAGGCATCTTCCTTGATCATTCCCTACTTTATTTACTGAGGCAGGGTCTCTTCCCTGAATCCAGAGCTCTCCAATTCCAGCTAGTCTAGCTGGCCAGCTTGCCCTGGGGACCCTGTCTGTGCTTCTGGAGTGCAGAAATTAACAGGTATCAGCCACATCCATCCAGCTTTTTATATGGGTTCTGGAGATCTGAATTCTGGTCCTCACTCTTGCCCAGCAAGTGCTTTATCTGAGGAGTCATCTCCCCAGTTTAGTACTCTTTCTTTGAAATTATACTCCTTGACAAGCATGGGGTTCTCTCCTTCCACCATATGGATCCCAGGAATTGAATTCAGGTCATGGCAGGCACCTTACCCACTGATCCAACTCTCTGGTTCCAAAGTGTATTCTTAAAAATAGTTAAGATGGAGCCTGGTATGGTGGTACATACCTTTAATCCCAGCACTCCAGAGGCAGAAGCAGGCAGCTCTCTGGGAGATTGAGGCCAGCCTGGTTATATAGCAAGTTCCAGGCCAGACAGGGAGATCCTGTCTCAGAAAACAAACAAAAAACAAAACACAACAAATTTAGATTGGCCACATACACACCTATAAGCCCAGCACTTAGGAGGCTGAGTCAGGAGGATCAGAAGTTAAAAGTTACCCTCCCTTAGTGAGTTTGAGGCCAGCCTAGGCTATGTGAAACCCTGTCTCAAAAAAAAAAAGAAAAAGGAAAAGAAAAAGGGCTGGAGAGATGTCTCAGCAGTTAAGAGCACTGGCTGCTCTTGCAGAGGACTTACGGTCAATTCCGAGCACCTATGTAGCAGCTAACAACCTCTATAACTCCAATTCCAGGGGATCTGATGCCTTCTGCTGGCCTCTGTGGGCACTGCACGCACAGGTACACTTGCATACGTGCTAACAAAACACACAAAATAAAAATAAATTTAAGCTGGGCATGGTGGCACACGCCTGTAGTCCCAGCACTTGGGAGGCAGAGGCAGGCAGATCTCTGTGAGTTCAAAGCCAGCCTGGTCTACATAGTGAGTTACAGGACAGCTGGGGCTACAGGGAGACCCTGTCTCAAAAAAAGACAAAAATAAATAAATAAATAA